TAGTCTTCCTCCAATCCTGATGCCTCCTTCTTCTTCATACAGTTCAACATCTCAGATTCTTTGCTCAGCACACAAACTGAATACATAAAACAAATTGAACTTTTCCTGATGTCATTAATTCCCATATTTTAACTCTGCATTGGTAGCTGGGTGCAGGTTCACAGCGCAGAGCATCAGTTTTACATTCAGCAATTCAGACACATTTTGCTTCATCTCGTTCAGGGCAGTCCCCTCAGTGCAACACCCCTCATCTCACCCCCTCCCCTCCTCCTTTCCTAACAGCAGCCCCCACCCAATACAACTTCCCTGGCCTTTTTCTCACCATGCAGTTTTCCAATTTCTGAGAAGTTCTTCATAATAAGCTCCTATGATCATTCTTTGTCTTTCAAGAACCATCTATCAAGATTGCCCTCTTGGACACCCCAGAAATAGTTTGCCGTAACCTTCTGAGTTGACCTCTCTGCCTTGAGTTGAGTGGGGCCAGAAGATCCCTGGAAGCCACACTTCCCATTAGACCTTCTTCGAAGACACACTAATGAGACTAAGAGAAGTGCATTACTGCGAGAACCTGTCTGTAGCCATCCAGTGATCCCTGAGCAAGTTTAAATAAGCTTTGTTTGGAGCAAGCCTATGCATGTATGAACTGCAACACAGCAGCAATGCTTGTTTTTAAAAGATTATTTTATTTTTCAGCTTTTTATTGTGGATTGGGTAAAGATTTACTGAGCAGATGATCAATTTTAGAATCATCAATTCACTTGGTGTTTCATCTCATTCATTGCAATCTCCTCATTGTAACATCATTTATTCCACTTGCTCCTATTGCCACCTGCACGGGGTCTGGGAAGCCTGTCACTGTATTAGCCACAAACAGAGACCAGGTGGATTAAAGAAATTCTTTAGGTACTCAAAACACAAACAAACAAACATATAGGACATATAGGACATGGTACAACTGCCCTTATGAGTTCCGAGACTACTCTTCATGGGGTAGAAAGCCCCATACTTCTCCCGCCTGCATGCACTAGCAGAAGGAAAATGGCCAGGTGTCTCCTCGGAGCTGTTTCGTAGATGACCCAGCAAATTAATATACCTTAAACTATGTGACAAGAAATAGATTTTTACACTAATTACAGGATGAGATTAACAGGGTTTTGTTGTTTGGGGTTTTTTCACAGTGTCACAGGATACAATTGATACTCTAAGAAGACATGTTATCAATGATCATTTGTCAGAACAATTGCTGTAAGCTCACAGAAGCAGAAAGGGTTTTTTCAAAGATAACTTGTTCA